GCACTGTCAACATATGTCATAGGCTTCATGCACCAGTCACGTGCGTGCTTCTATACATACACACAGATGTGTGTGTATAGATATATATATATATGTATACATATATATATATATATACAAATATAACGGGCATGGTCATGGACGTAGACATAACGACAGAGGCATAGGCAGAGACATGGCCGCAGGCATTGAAAGAGATGCATGCAGAGACATAGACCCAGGCATAGACATATACACATATTGGCCTACACATGGATGTCTTTGCAAAGACATGTGTTCATTATTCTGCATGGACATATACACAGAGACTATGTATGAACATATACTATCAGGTGTAGGTGCATAAAAGGGTACATAGGTATAGACATGTACATAGACAAATGTATGCATAGACACGGACACAGCCATCCACATGTCCAGTTTTGCGTTTGTCGTATGCGGTCGTGCAAAACAATACATGCGTCGCGTATGTGTATTCGTGCGTGCATGCTTCGTGCTTGTCTGTGTGTGTGCAGGTCGCAGCTATGTACTAATGCACACAGTTGCACATTTGTGATTTTCCGAAAATTAGGGATACCATATTGTGATGTCCTTATATTTATATATATATATAATGATCCTACTATTTAGAGTATTATATTAGGGTCCCCCATTTTCGGAAACTCCCATTTGTGCATGTGCAGATTGACCAGAACCCTTACTTGCGCCGCTTGGGAACGTTGAGAAGCCCTCTGCCTCTGCTTCATCTCGTCGTAGTAAAGGCAAGAACCCAAGTTTCTAAACCCCTAGGCCCTAACTTGAAAAAGCCCTGTAGACCCTGAAACATACTACGTAACCTAAGCTCTACAGCCCGGAAGCACAGAATCCCCCATGACCCGGGACAAGGGGGGTTCGGAGCGAGCCAGCATCTTTCTGCGACCTGGGTCTTTCGAAGAGGAGGTATGCACCTTGGGTGCAGGTCGGGCTTGTCCACGACCGATCTCAAACGGGCTCCCACTTGAGGGCTCCTGGCTATCGAACCAGATTCGCCAAGCCCTCGAAAAGGAACCGTGCTCAAAAAGTACAACTTCTACAGCCGAGCGAAAAAGGACACTGGGAGATGTGGAGTTTTTCCTGCTTCCTACCTCAAGGACGAAATGAACCCTAAAAGGGTTTAAGGTTCATATACCATATAGGGATTCATAGTATATGGGCATAGGGCCCCTACTTTTAAGGGTCGTTTGGTCCTTCAGGTCCAGAGCCTGTTCCTGTCGAGACTTGAATGTACGACTTGTCCTGTTGCATGTTTCAAAGGGGAAAAGGAGGGACCCTTAAACCGATTTTACACGTGAAATGTTGGCAAACCAAGGAGCAATAAGAGAGCTAGGATTCTAGAGTAAGGGCAAGGTTACACTAAAACCCCAAACCTTATGAGCCGTAAACCCTAAACCCAAAGCCCTTAAACCTAAAATCGACACCGCAGTAGTAGAAAGATCCATGTGTGGTGAGTTTCTGCCGACTGAGTACGCAACTGCAAGCAAAAGCCATAGGGGCCGCCATACTTCTTATGTGAGGACCGGGTATCGGGGATGTTATACTGCCTATATACATAAATACATAAACATATCTATATATATATATATATCTGTGTGTGTGTAGTTGCAATGCCTTAACAAATCGTCGGATCGGGTCGAGGGAACGTTGTAACTACTACCGTATGCAGTTATGACGCTAGAAGCTTCTGAGGCAACACATCCCATGCCCTTGCTGGCTAACGCGCCGATGCAATTCTTGGTCTGCATGGAACGGCGTTCAAACGTGGGCTGGATCCTTGTTCAGGAGTGCAGTTTAAGTTACCCTAACGAGCGTATTATGCTTCTTGCAGTTTATCGGTACTGCGGTAACCTAGAAGCAATCTCTTGCATGAAGCCCCATAAATGCCACTTAACACTCAAAACAGCTCCATTTTGAACAAGAAGCCAGATGTTGCTCGCTGCAGGTAGCTTGGGACAGTTTTCCCCGAATACCGTGCAGGCCCTGGTCCACCCCAAGGTTCGCAGTGAATACAGGGCACTCAGCAATTGGAGGGAGGTTGAAGGTTTAGGGCTCAAAAGGGCTTGGGTGCATGCTTTACCGAACCGAATATTGAAGCAGCAGTGAACGAAGTTGGCTGACATTTGCATTATCCGATCTCAGGGTGTCGAGAGGGTGTAAGGCCCAGCGACTCGACCTTGATCAGCCCGTCACCTACCGCGACCGAAATTCGACTGCAAGCAACACAACCAAACATCTTGTTTTGGAGAGGGCGTTCTCCTCTTTGCTGCAGACTGAAAAGCTAAAACCCAGCATCCGAAACTCCCCTAATGCCTGAAGGCTGAACCGAAACTCCACTTTTAGGACTCTCCTTTCTTTGCGGGCTTTTGTACTGTCACCACATCTTGGCCATACATCTGGAATCCTCCCTGCCCTGAGCGAGTCCTGTGATACCACGAATTACGCACGAATCACGCAAACCCCTTAGACGTATGCCCACCCTCAAAATGCATATCAAGGACCCCGGAACCCTTCTCATGCATGAAGATCCTATATATCAGGACCATATCAAACCTTGAGCCAGTAGATTTGCAAAAGATATGTGTCACACCCACACAGACAAACACACACAGACAGACAGACGACACACACACACACACACACCCAAATCGACATGCCAGCATTGAATCAAGATAAGGGCTTTAAGAACTCCGGTACCTCGTAGCAGAGAGATAGGGGAATACACTTCCTAGTGGCGTATCAGCGCCACGCGCATCCATTGTGCAGTCTACCCTCTGCTCTGCCCGGACATTTCTCGTAAGCTTAGGGTCTCAGGGTCTTGTGGCGTTCGGGAGTCGGGGTGCGGAATGTATCAGATTGGAAGGGGGTAATGTGCATTTCAAAGCCCTCCACGCTCAGCTGCGCTCCTTGGAGCAGTTGAAAACAGCGCAGGCCAGGTGAGGAGGTCGACAGGTGATCGTTTTCAGAATGCTGAGGTCCTGGATAATTAAAGGGCTTAATTAGGCCTCTCTGTTCACAACACCGCAAACACCGCGGTAGAGAGAGATCCTTCACAATTTCTGTCACCTGGTACATGCCCCAAAGACAAGGCCTGTTTAACGTTCGAGCTGTTGGCACTCCCTCCACTGGCAGAGATCTTAGGGCGTTTTCAAGAGATCCTCGGGCTGGATTAAGGCCCCCCTAAGGGATCCTAGACAAGTACCAAGCCGAACATCTCATTTTTCAAAAAAAAAAATGACTGTGCAGAGTGGGGGGGTGGTCGAACACCCTCGGGGGCAGACGGCGACCGGACTAAAGATCCGACAGATTCGAAGTTGGAGCTCCTTTGTATAGGTGATACTCAGGGTTGTTGGGGCTTGGGGGGTATAGTATGGTACACGAACCAAACAAGGACTTCAGGCTTGTGCCGTATATTTTCAACCAAGCCCATGGGGCCACAGGTCAGCCGAAAACCTGTCCATAACGGGTTTGCAGCTGGTTCAGTTCAGGTTGTGGGGCTTTGAGTTTTTTGAACTGACTCATGTAGCCCTTGCTCTGCCGTGTGGTAGGGAAATGCTCCTGAAGCCTCTTCAAAGGATTACAAAAAATCAACAACAGCGCCCCGGGTCCTTCGCCCAAGTGACACCGAGTGCCGAAGCTACTAAGGTGAAAGTCTTTGGGCATTGTCACGACTTCGTTCGTGTAGCAGCGACAGTTTGAACAGCCTTGCCTGCCGTTAGCAGGCTCAAGGCCGCAGCTCCGTAACTCGAGTGCTCCAGTGACCCCTAAACCCTAAACCCTATACCCCCTATACCCTAAACCCTATACCCTAAACCCTAAGCCCTAAACCCTATACCCTAAACCCTAAACCGGGCAAGCCCTTGACCCTAAATTCTGGTGCTTCCGGCTGGGTGCTCCTTGGGTCCCGACCCTCACAAAGGAATGCGAGGCTGCTGTTCGGAACATGGAACCATTGAAACATGCATGCAGGAAAGTGCAGTATCCGACGAAGCTACGAACCCTACCTGGTGTGCTATGTCTGCTAGGTTGACAAGCAGATCGGTATGTATCTTTCGCGTGGGTGAGGTGTTCAATGCCCGTCACCATAGACCTTACCAGCCCTAAACTCAAAACTTTTCCAAACCGCAGCGCACTTCTTCTCACACAATATTGGTGCAGGATTCCTTATCTAATATATACAACCATCAAATCAAGGAAACACCAAAACAAGCCCGAAATCACCACAAACCTTACTGCACCTTGATGGAAGGCCGAATTCGAAACGCACAACCGAAGATCTGAAGTCGTAGGCGACATCATAACCCTAGTGATCTAAGGACTCATATGTTAAGGCTTTTGGGCCCAAAGACCATACTATGTAAGGCTTTTGGGCTATTTTGATTCCTAGGGTAAGCCGCACAGTACTCCGTAAAGCTTGTTTTGGATTGTGGCCCCCTGAATGCATGCACTTGATTAAAAAAGCGCTGTCTTGATGTACCTACACCAGACCATGCAAGAACTAGCAATATCTCGAGTTGCCATCGCGTGATCTCTCTGGACCCTTCCTGAACCGTTATTCCCAAAAACCTTCCATACCCCCCACTACCCTCGACATATTCATAGCCCCCCTATACACACATTCACCGCAAAGAACCATAAAAGCCTCTATTGAGGCCCTAAAATATTGGCTTTGGGGCTGAGGGTCTAAGCATTCATACCTTTACATTCGCCCCCCCAAAAAAGCCTGAAAACTCTGTTTTCCGTAGCCCTCGCACATCCTTACATCTTGTTAGGCCCTTTCTTTTGCTTGTGGGCTCCCTTGTCCATCCAACCTTAAACCCCAAATCGCTGCACCCGAGATTTGTATCCTCTCGTTGATCCCTAAACCCTTTTTTGAAACCAGACTTGATGACTGCCAGCACTGCCTCTTCCGCTGCTCTTACCCTAAACCTTGAAGCTCAAACCCTAATTTCACCCGCTCTGGCCATTCATAGGTCGACCAGCTTCAACTGAAAGCCGATAGTGCCGACCACAGCTGAAGTGAAGTACACGAACCTCAGAACGAACCCAGAAGTGAAATTCTGTACTGTATATTAGATACATCAAATACCACACGCATACCATATAGCATATTATGGTATATGATTCCCATATCGTTTGCTGTATGAAGGCACTTGATTGCGGAACATGTTGAACATACCTTAAATTTAAATCAACACCTACACTCCTTGCTAGAGGGGCATTGGGGTCTGGCTCAGCTCTGGGGTTTGATTGCTGAAGTGGTTTAACATGCCCAGTACACGAAACCAAACTTGTAAGCACAGGGAGCTTTCAGGGCGTACGGTTTAGGGTTGTTTCAACAGTCCCGCGCTCAATGCGGCTCACTGCAGCTTTAACGAACGCTTCTGTAGGTCGTCACCCGAACCAAAATCGCAATATGGAAAGCTGAAACCTCAAAGCATGGTCTTGAGAAGCTTGGGTTCAAGGTTGACCCAAGAGCGACAGGTTCAAGCCCGTCGCAGCACAGACCCTGTGTTAAGTCCGAAACCTTTCAACAGCTTTTCAACCCCAGGCCCTGAGCCCAAAACACCCTCTATATACCTCAAACCCCATCACAGAGCTTAGACATGCTTAGACTGCTTGTCGCAGCTTCGGACACATTGGGTTTATGGTGATTTCTGCATATTTTCACCGCGGAGCTTTTGCAGAACCCCCAGCGTGACGCGCGTGTCCCACATGAAGAAACCAGACTCGCTGAGCGTGAGGAACAATGCGAGGTCCATGTATGCTCCCTCTTCCTGCGGGGAGGACAATCGCAAACAACCCAATACCCCTCATCAAGCGATATCAAAGCATTCATAAGGGGCTTCCTATAGAAGTTTAGGGTATATACTCCTCAGTCAAGTAGCATGGGTCTCTCTGGGTTCCATCACCAACGGATCTTGGAGCCAGAAAGTCTTGATCTAGCTTTGCAGCTCCCTTTTTGGCACAGGCTTGTGTGAAATCCCGCCTGGATGTGTCGCACCTGCCCTCTGAACAAGGCCAGACACAAAAAGAAGGAACTGTTCCCGCCATGTTTGCGAATCCCGTCACGAAGTCTCACACACAAACGCAGGCACCATGTGCGTCGTTCACCACTGGGGGCCTCGCTGTGTTCCCGCTGGAGACCGGACAACATCACTTGCAACCAATTTACCACCTCCGCTCCTTAAAACCTCAACCCTACCAGGCAGGACCCCCTGGGGAGACAAAAGCCTTCGCAGCTGAGTCTGATGGAGGGCTACGGCTTAGGATTAGGGCTTACGCTCTCGCAACTCGGACTTCCCAGACGGGGGTTAGGGTTTAAGGGTTCGGACGCTGAGCGATTTTCTTGGGAAGAGACTCTTCAACGCTACACCCAGAAATAGGAATTCTGAGATGGTCGTCTAGTGTCCGAACTGCTTGCTCGACTGCTCGATTAAGTGTCAGCACAAAGCAGCGCGCTCTCGTGTTCACATGCATTCCAAACAAGTGCATGTACGAAGTGTGTGCCATCTAGTAGCATCCAAGACGCCTCCTCCTCCTCTGCGTCCAGCATGCAGAGCCTCGCATTTGCTTACAGCTGCAAAGGAGGCTGTGTATCCCGACTAGCAGCTAGCAAGCCGCATGTCGAACATTCGGAATGTCAGACGGTTTGCACCCGTTTCGGGGATACCGGTAGCTTCATACTCCTCACTATGTCACTATGCGTTCTCTGTGCATCCGAGCAGACCGCGCAAAGGCAAGAGCATGCACAGGGCTTTCACAAAGCCTTTTCGGCTGAAGAACCATTCTGCGGACAAACAGACCGTCTCCAATCTAAACCCTCAACCCTAAGCCCTGAACCCTAAACTTACAAACCATAACTCGACTTTAGGGCTTGGGGCGTTTAGGGAATTAAGGCGCTGTGAACGTAACCACGCAAACAAAATTACGAAAGCTTGGGGCAGTTTTACCCGTCCTGGGATGTCAACAGAAAAATCCATGTTGACACAACAGGTGCTATGAGGCTTTTAATCCCCAGGCACTGGTGCCATCGAACACCCGAACCAGTAGCAATTCCAACTTAGTGTACGGTCAAAGAGAAGCCCGAGAACAGGGACGGCAACCGAGTGCAATCTGCTGTCGCACAGGCAGCCACATACCTCAGCTGTTCCCCATCCGGCTTTCTGATTGCAACGAGTGGCTGTCTGTCTGCGTATGGTTCGCGCTGCAGCGGACGCTTTATGAGTCGTGCCTTCAGCGTTACATCGCGTCGAACTCGGGCAAACTTCACCCTACACTCCAATGCAACTTGTACTCTGCAGTCCTGCTTCCAAAGCAACCTGCATCTCGAATCTTAATCAATCGCATCCCCTAAGAGTGCATGTAGAATACGACGCTCCATCCATCACACTACCCAGTTTAGAGTGAAATTCATCCAGAAACCCCATTGTCATCACCTGCTGGTTCATCTTGAACCACAACGTCGCTTTATGCGCGGCACTAGTTATGCAGAGACTATAAAGGGATACCGTTAGTAATTGCTCTTGGCACTCAAACTCTCGGAGACGGGAAGAAGGGTGTCGGTCGCTTGGCAGACTGAAACGTAGATCCCTTCAAAAGGGCTCCCCATGAAGCATCTTACACCCTTCTTATACACTACTGGAGGCCCAAAGAGCAGAATCCCATCCATCCTACTGTACTACTACTATACTACTACTGCACGATTATAGTACTATTGTCCTACGATTACTACTATATTACTAAACTAACTCCTGAAGCTTCCCAAAAGTTTAAGCAACCTGCTGCTTGGAGAGCGCTTCGACCAACCCGAGTTTGCAAGAGTTCGCGCCGCCGGATCGAAGTTGCCCTTGAAGGAACTCTTATCTGAGCCATTAGCCCTTAAAGGAGCCCTTATGACACCCTTCAAGAGCCGAACTCCCCCAGGAACCTACAAATGATCCCATCGGAGAGGTGCAAGGAGAAAGGCATGATCAATGCCAGGATCAAGTTGGGCACAGCATCTGCGCCGTGGCCCTGCCCAGCCAAAGTTTGGAGACTTCGAAGGCCATTCCCAAGAATGGGAACAGCAATCAAATGTTCTCTCCCTTTCTCTCTCTCTCTCTCTATCTCTCTGCCGTTGCAACCAGGTTGCTATCACAGTTCTAGTCAGAGGTAGTAGAAGCAGCCGTAGTCGTAGTAGTAGTAGTAGTAGTAGTAGTAGTAGTAGTAGTAGTAGTAGTAGTAGTAGTAGTAGTAGTAGTAGTAGTAGAATAGTAGTAGTCGTCCACGTGGTGGGTAATCCTGTGTCCTAGACCAAAACTTGGCAGGCGGATTCCTGTGCTACTACCCAGAACAAAGTAGTACACGAAAATGAGGCCCCTTGCTAACCCTGCTCCTATAGATCTATAGGCCCTTCATAATCAGGAATCCTGAGATTATATAAGGCCATTGCAGAAAGAGTGGTACGATTACCCATCATTCATACCCTATGGTACGGTCGCTTCGAATGTTGTGGATTGCGGCCATCGGGCCTACATTGGCAGGTCTCATGTGGGAGTATAAATGACAAGAAATATGGGAGTTTCCGAAGAAAGGTAACCCTAATATAATGCCCTAGATAGTGGGATCCTTATTATAAGGCCCCCAAAATAATGTACCGCTAAGTCTCGGTAACTCCCGATATAGGCCTGCAGGCGTGGGCTTCCCCGAATCTCGTTACATGGGCCTCAATACTTAAGAGTAGATCTTGTAAGGGTTTTTGGTGGCGGCTGTCGTGTTTTTGTGTGCATAGCATTGGTGGTGCGAAAGTTTCTAGGAGTTCGGAACGGAAGGCGTCGACTCGAAAACTGCTGATGTCAACAGCGATGTAGATTCTAGTGTGGGTTTTCAGGATTTGCCCATTGCTTTGAAATGGTGACGAGGCTACGACCTAGGAGCGTCCAAAAGCTTGTGCAGGCAAGGAGCCATAGGAGATGCCCCGAACACAGCTCTGAGCCATCAAAAATTTTAGTTCCCTAGCTCAGTCTCGGTGACTGTTACAGACCACTATGGCAAAAAGCCCTTGAGAGCTGTGTCCCTTGATGACTTCACCTCTCTCGATGCAGAGACATGAAAGCATCGGGCCAAGCAAGCGAACACAAAGACTGGAATGAGGTTCCGAAGCCATTCACAAGCCCTATAGGGAATCGTACAACAGTCCGGAAAAGCCTACGGACCTTTAATTCAGGCCCACTTTTCCAGATACAAGACTCAGACCCACAAATACAGACAACAGCAAACCGCAAAAAGGAAAAACAACTGATGACCGGGTAAACAAGGAATAGGCAAATACACAAACAAGCTTCAAAGGCCAGATCTGCACCTGAGAGATGTCATAGAGCATCGCAAAAGCCACCAGAACAGTCGTTGCCGCTATCGAAGCGGCCGTGAGTTGGTGCATGCCTAGGGAATAAGATTTAGGTTAGCGTTTAGGGTAGGATTTTAGTTCCTAGGGTGAATAGGATATCGAGGTATGGACTACGGCGGTGGGACTTGCTCTGGAGTCTCAAGGTTGCTTAGGGCACTCTGGTGATTCCAGCTGCCTGGAGTAGCCAGCAGCTTCCCACTGCTCACGGTTCCTTCCTGTAGCCCAAGAGCCCTCCGTTTTGCATCAAGGCCTATTTCGGCTGCCGGCCCTCCCTAAACCCTGAAACATTTAATCCTGCAGTGAGCCCCCGAAGCCTAAGCCTATTAAGCTAAAACCTAGTCCTTACATCTTGGAGCTCCAAGGCGAGACTCAATGTCCCTCGACTTGGGATGAGCCCTAGCATAAGCAGGTTGCTAAATCTTTCGGAGATCCAGTTTCAAAGCTTGGCCCGTCAGCATAATCCCTGCTCCACAAATCCACATAAACATTCGAGCCGAAGCCCGTTTTCCTGAACTTCGGTGTGTCCAAAAGGCGTGACGTCTGTCGCATGGCACCTATGAGCTCCCTCCATCGCATCCGTGCCGTCAGACACGAGATCTCACCTTTCTCGCGCGGGTGTGGGGTGATGGCTCAAACAAACTCAGACAGCCAGGCAAAGCAACCCCAAGCCTTTTCCAATTCAGGCTTAAGTTTAAGGCTTCGGGATGGACTTCAACCTGAGACCCTTGTCCCCAGGACCTACTTGGAGGTTCATGGGTAGTTATAGGTATAGGGTTATAAGTCCCCTAATATGAGTTATAAGTATAGTTACCCTACTTATAAAGCTTCTGGTTGGAAGGACTCTCCGGGCTGAGGAAGCGACGGTGAATAGGAAGCAGAGTTTGGAGGTTTGGCGCTTCAGGTGCTTGGATTCTTGGGTCCCTGCTGTTCTTCCAACGCGGGGAATGTCACAAGTCTGAGGGAGCACTGTAGTAACTACTTTCTCGGTCTCTGTCTCTGAAGCGTGCCGGGCGACCATGGTACCATGGTGGTTGGGCCGACAAGGCTGTCTCTTCAATTGGCAGTGGCGCAGATTTGACTCCAAAGCCTAGATACTGCAGATTGGAGCCTCTGTCCTTGTCAGCCTACAAACCAGGCGCAATATGCGTGACGTAAAACTGTTGGCGAAAACTGTGATCCTCATCGCCATGATCATGCTGATGCGCTGCTGATGGCTAGCAATTGCCTTCCGGTTGTTGCCAAGACCACTGTGACCGCAATTTTGTTGCTCCTACTGGCACGGCTCAGGTTGTGCGCATCGCGCAATCCTTCCAAACTTCGCCCGCTCTCATGGAGACCAACCACATTTTTCCTTTCTCCCTAAGCCATGAACACCGAGGTGAGGCAAGATGGTTTAGGGGTGTCCTGCTGTCGGCAGAAGACGCCAAAGCTCCTTAGAAACATGAAACATAACCCCAGAACGCAACAGAAAAGATGCTGACAAGAGATGATTTGATGGCCGTCGTGTGTGATGAAGTGAATGAATTACAAACCGTTTCCTGAGTCCTCCAAAACCTGAACCCGGAGCCCTAGCCAAAACAAACCCGGCAAATGTGGCCTTCGAGCACTGAGCGTGCAAAGACAGCAATAGCCAATGAGATCCCGCGCCATTTCGAGTTCTGGGCAGGCTTCGATGGGCTGAACATTTCAGTGACACTGATGCGTGAGGGATTTGGGGTACAGGGTATCACTGATAATAATGATAATAATAAGACTGACTACTCTAGGCACTTTCAGTTGCAATACTACGCACAGACGTTTACCAGTGCTTAGGATCCGCTGCGAATGGCCCCTGGCTGGTTGGCAAACTGCTTGTAGCAGGGGATGGTGCTTGAGCTTCCGTTACGCTCAGTTTGGATTGAGGGCTTGCGATTAACGGGTTGCCTCCACAAACAAAAGCTCATGAGAGGGCCCCTGTACCGGGGGACTGACCTGCATTGCAGGGTCTCACAGAAAACGCATTAGGAGGGGCCCCGAAGCTGTCCGACGAAAAAGCAGCCGGAGAGACCTCCTGCGTCCACACTCAAAAAGGCCCAACAAATGAAGCGAATCCAAACTCCAAATGCCTCAAACCCATCTTCCACTCAACCACCACATCCCGAAAGTAACAACACCCGAAGCCTCAACATTCTCGAAAAGCTAACCCTAGGATCACTAAATCCCAAAAACCTCAACATAATTGTCTAAAAGCTAACCCTAGCAAAAACTAAAACCACAACACGATCAGAAGCACTTGCTCCAATGCAAGTCCTGGCCTGGAGGTAACAGGCACAGAGTAGGCTTGCTGTGGTAAACGCATAGCTGGCCACCTCGAGACGCGCTTTCGGGATTTGAGCTTAGGATTTGTACTTCTTTCTTTCGAAGGTCTTTCTGCAACCTTTACGTATCTCGACGCCGAACAACTCTAAAGCTTAAACAACTGCGGTAGACGCGGAACTTTCAACCGACAGCCTCATGGCCTCATCCCGGCCCTCGCAACCAAACATAACAAGATATACAGATAAGATAATGAACAGGATTCAAACTGAAACCCCAACTAGATGCAGCTCAAAGCAATGTGCAAATGAGCTTGCCGTTACAACATTTCAATTCACTCCGGGATATTCTCTGAGCCAGGATCCCTTTGTGGCTCTGGTGTTTTCAGCGGCGTAATCATAGTCTCCATTGTAGTTCCTTTTTGGGATTACATTGTAGGATCCAAATTACATATTTGGTTAAACCAAAAAATAACTACAATGGAGACGATAGGTAGGGATCCTGCAAACCCAACCACCCAGGTACTCATTGTGGGGATTGGGTGATGGATTAGCTTCAGGACGCCTCAGCATGAGTGCGTTCTGAGGTTGACGGCTCCCTTCTAACCAAAGGCATGTGAGCCTAGAACAACCCGCAACTCTAAGCCCTAAATCCGTAGAAGTTCTCAACCGAATCCCCTGAACCCTGCGCCTAAACTCTAAACTTCCCTACACATAAAAGTCTGTATCCAAAGTGAAACTCTAAATCCCTAAACCCTGACCTCTACACCTAAACTGAACTCTGATATTCCCCAGGTCCCCAAGCCCAAACTACCCGACCCTCCATCCCTTCGCCACAACAAAACATAACAAAACTCCGTTCCTTGATCATCGGGTCCCTACTCATACCTATATACTAATAAGGTTTGGCGACTTGGAAACACGAACCCTAGGACCGACCCTAAACCCTAAACCCCTAAATCCCTCAACCCCTAAACCCCGCAGGGCCCAAGCAAACGTGAACCCCCAAACGCTCACAGCCCAGCACTGGTGGCCTGAAGAGCACCCACTGCATCCACGGCCGGCTGGACCAGAACGGACCAAGTCCGAATACCTACGACCAACCTGGCTTACGGTTTAAGGTTTAGGGTTTAGGGTTTAGGGTTTAGGGCTTTGGGGGTTTATTTTTTCCCCGCTCGCATGGCTGGCAACGATGTCCACAAGCGAGGGAAGATTTGGGGGTTTACGGTTTCAAGGCTTATCTTTTCCTTCCTGCCTAGCAGCTCTTGTTCGGGTTTAGGGATTTTGTTGGGCTTATTCTCTCTTCTTAATGACCGGACCCAAACAAGTCCTCAAACCTTCCAAGATAGACTACATGGCCAGAAATGAAAAGTTCTCCCATTGGCGAAGTAAGTCTTTGTGGACTTTGGAGTGTAGCATTTTCCAACTAGAACAACCCCAAACCCCAAAAGCCTAAACCACCAAAAACCCTGAACCCTAAACCCAAGCGCTGAAATAGCCAACTCCTTCAAACCAAAACCTGAAAAGCCACAGAACTTACATAAAGTCTACACGTGAAACCTCAAACCTAGAAAGTCTTCATCCTCAAGGTAGGTAGCAGCCACACCACGGCCATGAGGGCTCCGTCCACTGACTTCCTAGCTTCCAGGGCTGGTAAAGAGATCCAGATCGAAAGAAGATGATTTTCTGTTAAGTCCTACGTATATCTATCTGCCTGTGTGTCTATCTATCTGCTATACAAAGTTTTTGGCTTCCCGATATATCACGATAAAAGTCTTGCGCTATCCGTGCAGTCAAGGCGATTCCTTAGCAGGGTGGAGTTGCAGGTTCCATGCCCTCTCCTGCAGTTTGGCGGATGGACACAACAACTCTATACTTGTCGGGTATCATGAGGAACTAAAGGTCAACCTTCTTGGCTATTTAGGGTTTATATATAGGGACTATACTACCCAAAAAAGGTGAAAGGTTACCTACTCACTACTAGGCAACTCTAGACCAATCATGGGAAGTCTGAAAATTCAAGCACTCCGGTATACTCCTTTCCGCGTGCGGACTCCGTCCATCAGCCGCACGTAGCCAAACTCGAACTTTTCTCTCCAAGCTCTTGAAATCAAGTAGGGACGACGCCCTCAAGCTTCGAACCAAACTTGGGGCCAAACCTCTAATCGCCCTGGCCCTAGCTGAAACCTAGACGGGCAACAAAACCAATGTTTAGGGTGTAAGGTATATAGAGCCCAAATTATGAAAGGCCCCGCATAGCGCCCCCGTGCAGTCTGTGAGCGCAAGTGCGTCACCGCTCTCTGCCAGCCGGGTGTCTGTTTGGCCCAATAAACGGAAAGGCCGGCACCCTCGATGTATTCCTCCATAAACGGGCTCAGAGTTCAGGGTTTAGGAATGCCGAATCAAGCGCTGCAAGAGAGAAATGCTGCTTGGTAAAATGCATCGTCCGAAAATGACGAGCTACGCTCTTTTTGGGTTTCTTCGTCCAAGACAAGACGGAATCCTGGGCATTGGGTTCACATTTGAAGTACTGCTGTGGCTCACTAAAGAGATGATCTGTAGCAGCAACAAAAAACAAGAAGACGAAGCTTCATACTTAGATTGCTGGTACTCAGCAGAGTGGCGCAATTCATGAGAATCAAAGCTACAAAAAGCGCTACTAGGAAAGGAATACTCCCACCAACAATCACGAGAAGATAGCAGCTTCTTTAGTCGCAGCAAAAATTCTAGTGACATGGTCCATGATGACGCATAAAGCGACGCTGATAACAGCAATATCGAACTGCTCATAGTCATATCAAGTGCTATTGCAACAAGAGCGCATGGGAACACAAGCCTTCACTCCAAATCGAAGGCAGCGGAAAAACAGTACATTTTCGGCATGTCTACAGCAAAAGTTGGTATGTAGACACCCGTTCAGCAAGGCCACGATACTATTTAGGATCCCGGGAATAATCCTTTCTAAGATATGGAGTGGTGTTGAGAAGGCAGGTGTCTGCAGCAAAGCTGAAGAGCCCCCTTGATGGCCATTTGAGGATTCCGAGTCACACTGTCTGAGCTTTTAAATAACCGGGGAGAAAGAAGGGATGATGGTTCCTTTAAGGAAAGAAGTATTAAGTTATGCCCAGCTGTAGGAGAATCATTTGACGAGGGTGGGCACCTGAGGATCACTTTTGCCCATGCGCAGAAACAAGTGGGTTTAGGATTTGAACCCGCTGGAATCCCAGGAACCTCTGCATCTAAGTCAAACCAAAGTTGCCCCCGACCCTGAACCCTCATGATTCATCGGTGGACCTGCTGTCACTTTGCGCCAGCTGAAACACTGTCTCGAAACTCCTGAGTAATTCAGCAGCAAAGCCCCAAAGTTGATTCAAGAAGATTCCTAATTAATGAGTCTCCTGGTTCAAGATCCCTCCCTGCCCCATTCTTTCGCAGCTGTGGCTCCACGAGATGTTCGGAGATCTGCATCTGTGCTTCCGCGGTCTTCCGGTAGCCTGACACAATCACAAACTAACACAGGCACTGATCAGGTAGAGGGTAGAACAGTATGCGTGCCCATATGTAGATGCACAAGCATCCTCATGAACAGAAACTGCTGTGTGTATACAATGCGCTGCCCTGTGCCCCTGGGGATTTGACACAACCATGCTATTCATTGGCTGAGAAGCCAGGAAAGCATCAACACAGACGCCACCTTGAACGCGGGGTAAGCCGAGGGCTTAGTTCTTGAGGTTTGGGCAACGGGTTCTACATAATTTTTAGTGCCAGCTTCCCAGCTTTCACTGCCGATAAAGACCGACCCCAAACCTTAAGTATCCTTGAGTTAAAAGAGTCGCAAGCTGATTATCCCCGAATCTTCCAGATGCGATCTCACCACAAAAGACCTCAAACCCCACAACAGGAGGTTTTTGCATGCCCAGCAGCTCAGAATTCCGCCGCAGGACCAGAGGGCCACCAAGGCACCCAGACAAATCCTAAGCCGATGTTCAGATTCGGACACACCGTTCTCAAGATATTTCTTGGTACTATAATAAAGCCTTGTCTGCCGATACGGGGTTACAAGCGCAGATTTGACATCCCAAAACTCCGGACAGCCACCCAAAGGCCTCGACCTGAGCATCCGCCCCTGCAAATCGAAATTATCCAAACCTCCGACACCTCAATCTCGCGACACACTTTGCAAAATGGGAACTATTATTAACTGCTTCGGCTTCTATACTTCTCCCTTCTATGTTGGGGTGTGAGGGTTTGGGGTGGTCTGGTGGGATGAAGCTTAACCTCAAAGATTTTGGGTTGTCTTTTCAAGTTTAACGTCATAGCGAAGCTTCGGGCTTAAGGTTTAGTTGTGTGCCTTTGATATGGGGCCATACTAACGCTAGGCTTTTGTTTCAGATTTGCGGTTGAGTTGTCTTCTTAACCTTATGATTGAATGACATTGAACGGATCCTCAACCAATTCAAGGTACTTGACTGCTTCAAAGGAGCCTCCTTCAAGAGTCGAGGGACTGTGTTTTCGCTTAGGAATGACATCCCACCCAGAGGGCATTAGTGTAGGGTACGCAAGCTCTACACTTCTCAGAAGGGTGGGACCAGCCTTCATGATGAGACCAAGTTTCGTAAATCAATGTTGAATGTACTGTCCGTAATCGCCTGCTTTGACTGCGCTGCTTCTGGCTTCCGTAAGGCATGCAGACAAAGAGTCATGCAATCTGTAGCCAGAGCAGAAGCGCAGAAGAAATGTGCTTCTGCCCCTCTGCACACCACCTGCTCTGCACTGCTGGCAACCAGGCACCCAATGGCCAGAAACCTTGGATGATTTAGGGCCCTCCACTTGTCTGTTTCTATATTGGGTGTTTCAGATTGTGGCCTTGTTCGTACAGACTAGAGTTGCAAACTGATTCCTAAAACCCAATCCCCTGTCGAACCTTAACCCTGAGTGGTTCGACCGAATCAAGTGGACTGCTTGGGACCTCCGAACTGACTCGCTCTAAGGGCTGGGACCCCCTTGCAGTATACCACAGAAATGCGGGAGTCGTAGGTTTTGCTCCACTTCTGATTACAGGTTTAGAGTTTGAGGTCAGGGGTAGGGCAGGTGTACCAGTTGACCTTACCGACATCATTCTGCACCCCGGCATGCCAGGTTCCAAAGCCAAAAGTTTAAACCCCCAAAACCTTGATCCAAAAGCCTCCGAACCATCTAAATTTCTTGCCATAGGCGAACCGGGAAAGGTCTCGCTCCCAACCTCTAGACACCTAATACACTACCTTAGCCAACCAGAGGCTACCTTGTTTTGTAAGACCCGTATGAAATCTGTATGATGGTTGACAAATATGCTACGAACACGTATGTTATGGCAAGTTTTGGGATACTTACCCATAAGTAATTGTTGAGGCTCCTATACCAAACTACCCTTATAGTAACCTTAAGTAACCCTCATAGACCCCTTCTTTTAAAAGATCCCCAACATAACTCAGTCCCTAAGGCTTTGCGGTTCAAAAAGTCGGCTCAACACAAAGATTCGAAGTTTGGAATCTCACGGCGTAGGGTTATAGGGGTTTTGGGGTTTAGAGTTTTGGGGTTTGGTGTTTAGGGGTTTAGGGGTTTTGGTCTGATAACAGTGAACCTGCGTGGCTGAATGCGCTGCCATCTGCTGATCACTCATATCAGAACCACTCACAAGCAACATCGCGGCAGCACGCAAGAACCGTTGCAGCACGTACCCTGAAGCAGCATGGCTTGGGAACCCCTTGACTAAACCTTTAGCTTTATCCTTTTAGAGCGTCGGCTTCCCTTTTGCGACTGGCCTGTTGCGACTCCGCCAGGACGAATACTTGACCACAATCACTTAGTGAGTAAGCGACTCCTGTGCTCAGGCCAAGCATCCGGAACGATCTCACATGTGACTACGATTTGCCGAAGTTTGAAATGCTCTGCTGCGACAGTGTGTAAGCATTTCACGTGTACATCATATTGATTTTGAGTGACACCCACTTGTATGCTGAAGAAATCATGTTCCATGGGCAGATGTAGCAAGCATGCCACAACCGAGGAGGATTGCACGTCGAGACCCAGATGCCACTACTGAAGCCCCTCAACTTCATCCAGCCAAGCAAAGCCCATCCATCTCTAAACCAAACCATGACCAAGGAAATATTCCAAACAACCCAGGGAGTAGGGAAACTCTTCCAAGTACAGGTTGCAGTATGTAGAAAAGAATGCTGCCCGGCCTGAAATAAAACACCAGCGTAAGCACGACCACGAGAGGCCCAGACATCCCGACTTGCCGCCACGCCAATGAGAGACGCAACACTGACATCATGAAGCTCGGGATACTGCGAGCTCACTGCCGTCTTCAGCGACGGAGCAATCATCCCACCACGAGGCCGTCGAGCAGCATCAAGCAGAAGCAGCGCCCTATGAACGGATGAAGCACCATCCCGACGTAAGACATGACCCACATAATTCCACGTACGTAACCGCCAGACGAAAGACCAGGCTGCACGAGGAAGAAAGCCAAGCACTAGCAGCACGCACCGACGACGCAACTGTTGTATGCACATGGCCACTTCCGTAGAAGCAGAAGCAGGGATGAACAAATGCATGAGCAAAGCATGGTGGCCTGCATGACGGTGATCTCCTTCATGAGTGTGATGCACGGAAACATGAGTGGAGTGTACCAAAAGAACGTGCTTCCAACATATCGATTGAGCAAAGTTGTGGTCATCCGTTGTAAGCCAGTAGTGGCGTATTGTCGTTGTCTTGACCGTTAATTCTGGCTTCCGGCACGTGTCCAGATGAAGGAGAGAAAAAAAGATCCCAACTTTCATGCCATCCAGCTCCACCGTCCTGGTTCGCCAGAACCTCAACGTCCGGTGTCAATGCGGCGTTCAACGGCAGGCTGAACACATACACACTTGGATGCTGAGACAGGTTCAGGTAAACCGCGCTCAAAATCGACATGATCCTAGCACCGATGCCATCAATCGCTATATCGTTGTGCTGGTTTAAGCGACTTTTAACGGCAGCCGGGAACTGGATGTAGATGGAGTTGCTAAACCTGTTCGCCAAATGAAGAAAATGCGCTGTCAGCGCCTGCCGAAACCTCACAGCCACAGCGATCACGCGCCATTGGACCTGCTGCAATCCAACCAAATCAATGAGCTGGTCGGTAGCAGGATTGCCAAAAACGTGAAGACATAGTAGCACAAAATGCCAGCGCAGAATGCGTCGGAATTGCGTCCATGTAATCAACAGGCGGTATTGCTGAGGATTCAGAGGTAGGTCAGTCCTTGGTAGTAATATTAGTCGACCAATGAGCGCGGGAACACTCAAAGGCGGAACCAGACCGGGAGGAGCAGCTCCAGGGCCCACCGGTGCACCTCCTCCTCCGGCGCCAGCAGCAACAGGCGGCGCTGCTGCAGCAGCCGGTCCTCCAACCTCCTGCATCAAGAACTGGGCCAACACCTGGGATGGCTCCTGGAGCTCCAGGAGCAGCCTCGGGCTGACCAGCCTTCGCTGGAGGGGCCTTGGCAGCTGCATCAGGTGGACCGGCAACCTTTGGTTCAGCCGCCGCCTTCGCGGTGGCGTCGCCTCCATCGCCGCTCTTTCCCTTAGGGGCACCCATTGGACCTAATGATCCAATTGCTGCTTGAGCCAAAATGGCCTCGGCTTCCTTAAACCCTCAAACCGTTTAAATCCCGAAACCCTTTTGGGAACGCCCTGACAGTCAGGGCCTGACTCTGACGACTGGGGCCGAGCCACAAAACGCAGCAGTGGTAGATCTTCGACAGTGCAAATGCTTTGGGCGACAGCTTCCAACGGGAGACCGTGTTGCTCCGCACCTTGCAAGGGTATTTTTCCCCTCTAGGGTTCAGGGTTGCAAGGGTATTCGGGGTTAGGGTTTAGGGGTTCTGGGTTCAGAATAAGAATAGTAAAAACAACAAAAGAAAGTGGCAGTAAGAAGAATAAGAGCAACAATAGCAGCAGCCGCAGCAGCAAATACTTAGGGCTGAATATATTATGGCCTACGAAGCTGAAGGCTTCTGGCTTAGAGATGTGAGATCTTGCATTGTGGCTGCTTAGGTGAGGAAATCAGCGGACGTCAGCTGCTACCAAGTCTTCTTCAGGACGTCGGCGCTGCCCGGTGTCTCTACTTGGCTCTGTCTGTCCGGAAATGAACTCTGGGCATGCACATGTGCTGGAGCCTCATTGAACATCCGCCCTTGACCCTCAATCCTCGACTCGAATTTGTTTAATACCGCACTCCAAAGCCATGAGCATCAGCCCCACCTCCAACGCCAACCCACGCCCAATAAAGCACTTGCTAACGATCTTGCAAGAATCCTGAGGAAACTAATCAACACCAAAATCCGTAAATGCCTTGTTGAAGAAACCTCACACTTTCAAGCGTCTTTCAACCCTTAACTTAAACCGAACCAAACCTAGCCCCCTACACTGAAGACCCTGAACTTAGACCCTAACCTTAGACGCTAAGTCCCAAACCTAGACATCCCCAAACCCTCAACTTGGACCCTAAACCCGAAGCCTCCACGGGAGACTTGCCCTGCGCCACTGGGATGAGCCCAGTAAGGCGGCAAAGGATGTGAATGAAACCGAGCCAGGCTCGAATCCTGAGCTTTGGGTTTACTATACTGAACTTAGAACCCTAGCGAAAATTACAATTTTAGCTGTTTCTTAGGGATTATAATAACCAAAACCTAAACATTATTTCTAAGTGCTCCTAAGGTTCTGGGTTTTTGGGGACACTCACACTCGGACAAGCCTGGTTCTGGGCTTCGGCACTCCCACTCGTCGTTCAGGGCTTACGGTTTTAAGCCTGTTTTTGGTTTTTGTTTGAAACCTTTTTCCAACTGCATGTTTTTTGGGGTTTCGCCTCGCGCGCTCGCACAATGCAGGCACGGCTTCCGCTTTTAGAGACTGACAGGAGACATGGCGCAGAGAGTCATGGCCGAAACCCAGCATGTGATTAGGGGGTTAGGGCGTGTCAGCGTCGAGAGTGCCTGGGAGTTATTTCGTAGGGCGACTTGAGGATTTGGAAGCGTGCTTCTCTACAGCTTAAGGCTGTAAGGGCTGGGGGAATCGTGACACTGAGAGTCCAAGTAGCGAATACTCATGTCTCCCACAAAATACTAACCTACATTACTGCTGTCCTAAACCCCAGTACTGATTGCTGGGCCCATAAGTACATTTCAACTCCCTGCGAACCCTACAAAGCACTAACAGAACCCGTGTTAACCTCCTGTGGAACACTTACTGGCGAGCAAACAACGGCAGGGCACAAAAGGATGGGCTGCTCGGCTGACATCAGCTCTTCCTTCGGTGATTCCTTGGTAATGTCGGGGCCTTAACAAGTAGAGTTTGGGGCTCGTTGCAGTATAAGCATCATAAGGAACCCTAAGGAAGAGTAGGTTGTTTTTCGGGTGTACTTCTATATCACACAAGCTCCCTCTCTTAAGCTCTGAGTTCAGGGTTCAGGTTTTCGACGTTCACGCACGGACTCCCCAGGCGTGGCGTACAAGCGCTTGTCAGGACTTACGGGTTCAGGCCTGGTCATGGATGATGTGTCGGTGTCGCGTCCTATCGCTTTACAAGATCTGGTCAAATATTTCTGTAGGGTATCACATTACTCTTGTGAGATGATTGATACGAGTAGTGCGAGTAGTGAAGTAACACTTTCAATGTTTATGTTGGTTTTGTTAACCACCCGGCACTGCCCCATGACAGCTCCGCAGGGTAACGAGTCGGCAACCGTGGCAGAAGACTGCAATGCCAAACAGGGAAAGGAGACGCAACATAACCAACAAGTGAACCAACAATCTATACAGTATCAGCTGCAGTCCGTTCGCAGAAATGATATGGCAATCCGATGGCCCTGCTCCATGTCGCGACACTCACATGCATAGTGGAAACAATCATGCAGCCAGTGACAGCAAGAGTGCCAGATTGCCTAACCGCCATGACCAGGATGGATATATTGGTCGAGGTAGTAGTCCTAGTACTGGTAGTGATAGCAGTGAGAGCAGCAGTAGCAAGGATTCCATCAGGGATATCGATTGGGGCATGGATTGCTTAGCCACATATGAAACGGAAAAATTAGGCACAAATGCGACGGCATCCCTGAAGTGTCACAACAAATGATCTTCCTCGCTCGTCTCGGGGGTCCTCCAGCTTTTCGAGATTCCAAGATCACCCTACTCTTAGCTACAGTTATGGCAGTGTTGACGCATGCCCAATATCATACATCTGTTGGGCACGGCTTTAAGAAAAGAGGTGCCTATATAACAGAAGTCATCATAAGAAGGAATGTAAACCTATCCGGCCTTCATACCCCCCAAACCCTCCCTCCCTTGCTCTATCTCTCTCTCTCTCTCTCTCTCTCTCCCCCTCTCTTCGAGGTGCCTCGCGCTCGCGCACCCTCTCTCTCTCTCTCTCTCTCTCTCTCTCTCTCTCTTTCTCTCTCAAGCACTCGAAACGTCAAGCCGGACTGAAGGGCTACTGACACCTAAACCTGAATCATGGATGGATCCCTCATTCTTCATACCGCGACTTTGGTTATAGACAGACGAAGACCACATGGTAACAATCGTAACGTTGACCCTGTCTAGATTCCCTACTTTAAAAGGGAGTAGAGCAGGGATCTTAGCTGAATCATTCTTGAAAGCCTTTAAGGAGAGCGGGTTCATTATTCGGAAGTCTACGGTGTAAAATAATGAAGAAGAGTTGCTACAGTGATGTAGGTACCTTAAATGACCTTAAAGGATTAACAAGCGGAGTAAGGTCCTCGAAGGAGTCTTTAAATCTTCAAGAAGGCTTGGCAGGGTAAAGAACGCAAAGTGCGCAAAGTCTAGATCCAAAGGTTGACCCCTGTTGCAGATGCTGCTTTGGTCGTGAATAAAATACCTTGGGCAGGGATGCAGCCACAGTGCATACCCTCAGCCTTAAACCCCTAGCTCTTATTACATAGAGCGAGCAAAGCCATCAGCCCAGCTTCGGGCAACTCGATGCACTCCTCGTCTTCCTGCTTCACAAGGCTTCTTGCTAACACTGTGTGCATGATTTGGGCTTCGGGGTTTATCCACGGAGCGCAAACCCGCAACCCCTAAACCCTGAAAGACGGTTCACGGCTTTGACTTTGCATCCTTGACCTCGTTCTTCAGTCAAAAAGTCTAGGGGTATGGCAGGATTCCGACAATTATTCAATTGGGCTGAGCATTTTGTCCCTAACGTCTCGTCAACCGCGGCGGATATAGCGGACTTCATAGTTGGAAAAAAGGTTTCGGACCAAATTAAACCAAATTACAATATAATAACGTTTCGATTAAGGAGCCCTAAAAAAGTCAATTCTGTTGTATTTATTCCGATCGCTACCCATATCTAAGCATGCAAAGTGCTTTCGATCCGATCCACCCGGGCTTGGCACTGTGGGGGTGATGTCCAAACGATCCTGACCTGAAACTGACGCTGTGAACCCTGAAAGTGCCTGGTGAGTAGGGTTTAGGAGCCCTGACTACTGAAAGGGCTTATGGCCTAGTGTTCGGGGTTTTAGCAACCGACCTCAAAAATCCTTCTGTTGCGCAAAGCTCGAGCAACTCAGGGCCAACCTGAAACAACGAAGTATATGGAATGTATGAGAACGCCCGTGGGAGAACCCCCTGTCCCAAACCAATACCACAAGGCGGATGGCACAAAAGAAACACATCACACGATCGCCATGGGGCGCCCCTCCCGTTTGGGTTTACAGTCTTCTTGTGCCACAAGACCGATACTCTCAACACATCGCTTCGCACCAATAACGAAATATACTTTCAACTTGTACTACCAATGGCGGAAAACAGCTTCAATGGAAATGGAAACAATATAACGACTCAAACGGTAAACAAACCCGCTGCTAAAAGGCCGCCTCGCTTTGCTTGGCGGAGCCCAGTGGATTTGGAGAGGGGCCAGCAGGAGGCGTAGTTGGAATGAGCTGTGCCTGCAGCAAGACATCGTGCTCAATCTCTGCAGGTTCAGAGCTTAGAATGTTTTGAGGGCTGGGGCCAAAGCATCTTGGTCAAAGGGGTAGAGGGCTTGTGGTTTACATGGCAAAGGTTGATGGAAAAAGACGACTTTGGCGCTAGCCGAAGATGCTGGTGATACGGGTGTAGGGTATCGGGCTGTCGCTATCGGGCCTTGGTTTTGACTTGAAGATACTGCGTGCGCGTCTGTTTCAGCCAAATCAGGCACCGTGATGCAGAGCAAACATCGGTAAACCGAGAGTCTCGACCACGAAACCTACAGCTTTCATTCAAGAGCTGATCACAGCCACTGCCAGGAATTCGGCTCGGGTCCCTTGCGCCAGGGACTGAAGTACCAGGACCCGTCAGCGCCAAAATGACGAGGATTGATCTTCTCGCCCTCCAGCCCTATAAAGCCCCAAGACTTTAGAACAATGAATCCCAATCTCAAGCTACCGTCGCTGACTGAAGCAACATGCCCGATGCAAAGAATCCTTCATTCCGCCCCAACCTTTCCGCTTTGGTCTATACCCTCAGCACCAGCACAAATCGAAACCTACTCATCGAATTGCTTGGACACGCTTGGACTGCAGAATTGTGGTTGTGGGCCAACATGGGATCATTGCATCGTGGGGTGCATGTAAAATATGATACTATACTTTGGCCGTTGGCCTATCGTACCAGTCTCGGGACTACTTTTAAGGCCAAAAGGATTTACTATTTGGGTACATCGACCCGTGGGGATTTGCTGAAACCAGGTTTGTAGCCAGAGGAGAGAGGCCATTACGTCGGGCAGCCTCGCGATGGCGAAAGAGGTTGCTCCTTGGGCTCCCACGGCTTGAGGATGCTCTCCGGCAAAGAAACCCCAAAAGCTCGCAGAAAGCTCTGAGACCCTACATCATCAGGATATCGGGAGTGTTGCTGGGATTCCTGACCTTCTCCATGTGAGAATCTGAGTGGCTGCGGTTTGTTAAACAGGCTTGAAAAGTCCCTGTGCGCCTGCTGGAAAGAGTACGTAACAGAGTGATGCAAGAGGACCTGATGATAACGGAGAAGCAGCTTCAGACCATAGGAGCAGCCTCAAAGATCTCAAGAAATACCCAAAGCGCATCGAATGACCTGCTCTTCATCAAAGCGCTGCCCATGAGCCCCGCTTTCTAAACCACAAGTACCCTGCCCACAACTCTCTGATGGTCTGTGAGGAGGAGGCGCAATCTTTTCATCCAAAACCAACACCCACTACGCATGTGGTGATAGCTGCTCTCCATGAGATTAACGATTATCACGAGCAGGGCTAGAACAAACACAGGGAGAACTAGTCAATGTAGCACCGACGGCCCTCCTTCATCAAGCAGGCAAGGCTCAAAGAGATGTCGCTGTTGGTCATGCCAGTTGAAACATTCATGTCCTCGCCACGATTCTAGCTTTTCATGGTTCTCAAAGCTCAATCGCACAGTCACAACTAGCTGCTAAGCTCTTCGGAGGGCTTCTGGGAAGTGCACAACGCGGGTTTGTAAGGCTCAGTCAGTCACAGTCAGAGTGAGTGTGTGTGTGGGTGGGTTTGTAAGTGTGGGTGTGTGGGTGGGTGGGTGGGCGGGTGGGTGCGTGGGGGTTTTGACGTTTCACTTATATACTGCTTTAGCACGACATGCAATGCCGGATGGGACATCTTATGTGCCCGATCTTTCGATTCACACGCAAATTCATAGAATACCTTATTATTATGCCGCGATGCCTCGGCACCAACGCCAACTTCGACGTGCAAGCAAAATGGCAAAACAAGGACTTGATGAAAGCAACACAACATTTGCAACAGGAGGCTCAACATTTCAAGTGAATCATGACAGTAACCCCCAAGCTGCCTCCTACAGAATGGAAGAGGTCGTTTTAACCCACCAGGATGGGCATTCGACGGAATTGGCATGTCCATGGGTGTACTGTTTGGTGTAAAAGGGGGTAGTACCTACACCGGTTATTCATGCTACGGCCATAACGGAGATTTGTTGATCATGCTTCTATATTTTCGCTTGGGCCTGTATCAGTCTCTGCCGTATAAAAAGTCCAAGTTTGAGATGTGGGTTATCGCTGTTGCCACTCCTACTCTGGCTACCGTTCTTGGCTTGCCAGGTGGTTTGTCACTGGCGATTCGGCTACGCCGCGCTGAACATCCGGACAAGACACATCAAAGCTTTCAGCGCCACCGCTGACCCATGGAGCGTCAACCCGCAGCTCCCTAATGTCTCAAAAGCGTGCAGGCCATTGAAATCCAAACTTCAGCTTATTCCGAACCCCCAAGCCTTAATTTCTGCATGTCTTGAAACCTTATGCAAAACTAGAGTCAAGTGGGCGATCACGGTCTCCCGAGTTCTTGGACGTCCTGGGCTTGGATAATCTTGGCAGCCCTGTGTTTCTGAACTCAGTCTTGACGGTTCCAGCTTGACAGACTGGACATTTGGGTCTTCGTTCTGTGTTGCTTTAACAGGACACCCGGTGAACAACACAAGGAATCATCATCGACAGTCTGCACCACACGGAACCAGGCAAACATGGTTTGAGTAGCTATGTAGCGAGACGATAAAGTGATCGGGTATCCACAAAATCCTGGAGCAGTAGATGCCTCGTGAATTTGGCGCCCTGGCATTGTTGATCTCAAACCTTCTGCATCTTAGCACCCTGAACTTTGCACTTAAAACTCATAGACCCTCATCCCTGAACCAGCTACAGGTGCAGTTCGGAGATCTAGGACAACTCATGGAGCCGAACCCGAAGATTCAATACTTCCCCCAACCCAGTGTTTAGAGTTAGGATTTAAGCCCTAAGCCCTAAACCCCGCAACCCTTAACGCCAGGTTTGTGATTTAGGGTAGACCAAGTCTTAAAGAAGTGTCCAAGCAGTCCTCATTTATAGTTTTTGGCACCCAAAAAGCTGCTAAAGGAGTACTTGGACCCGTTGGGTTCTAGAAGGGCTGCCAGACGGGCCTCAGTCATGTCCCCGAAACCAAAACCCCCGAACCTAACCTTTGCAATGGCTTTGTAGATACATTAACGTATATCATTATATGTTATATTAGGTACGGCCCCCACTCAGTACTAGTTGAATAATTTTCATAATATAGATATAGTAGGACCTTAATAGTAGCCCTATTATAGACTCTTACTGTATGGGGGCCGTACCTAAATTGTGTGTATGTAGGAACTCTGGGGGGGCACTATTCCTATGAAAACGAACAGTATGTTTATCGAGATCGCCATGGCTCCCTGAAGCCGCAAACTGAAAACCCTCAGTCTATTCTGGGCTTTCGGTCGGCACTCCCCGGAAGTACCCAGACCCCCGGCAAAATCCAAAAAGTAGATCCCGTAATGGAGGTTCCTGAGTAGTATAGGGCCCCAAATTCGGGGATCTACTTTGTGGATCCTTCTGGGGGTCTGGGTATGCACTTGGCGGCAATTTGCACCGAGGCCATCTCAGGCTAAAGTGGCAAAACGATAGTACGGTTGTAGAAAAGCACCCGAAAAATAATGCTACCCTAAGGCCCTAAAGTTAAGTAGTTCCTTGTGGGGGTTAATATTTAGAATCTTATGAGGTAATCCCGGAAAAGGAACTACTATGGGGCCTCTGGGTACAGTATTAGTATACCACGTTGTGCCGAGCATCTTCGAAGGCTTGGACTCATTGTTAAAGCCACGGCTCTTCGAGCTTTTAGATGTCGACGCCGGTTCCTGCGAACAGTTCAGGGTCTAGAGGTCTGCTTAGAGGATCATGGGACTTAGTAACTAGGGCTATAGTTAAGGTAACTATACTTTTGATTACTTATAACTACTTATAACCCCAATCAAGGCACTTGTAACCATACTTACTAAGTCCCATGATCCTCCAAGTAGACCCTAAACCCTACACCCTATAGATCCCTTTAAGGAGCCCTTAACGGAACCTTACTAAGTCCCATGATCCTCCAAGTAGTGTTTGGGGCAGAAGGTCTCCGGGAACTGACAGGAACGAGCGCGGCATCATGTCACCGTTGCTGATGCAGGACTACTCCTTCCACTAAGCCTGCTGCAAGCAGGTGTATATATCTATATCTGCATATATATATATATATATATACATATGTAAACATACATATATCTATATATGTATACACACACATACATACATACATGCTCGTCATGATGGCAACGGCCGACTGCAGCCTAGAGCATTGGACGAACTGGGAAGTCAAGTCTGGTTCGCCTGCACCAGCACCATCACCATCTTCTTGCTAAGCTGGAGCCATGCTCTAGCTCAAGTCCTACAGCTCGTTACCTGTGCATGTCTCGTGCTTGCCTTCACCAGATGGACCAGTACCAGCAGCACAACTTCATCAGCATCACTCACTATCATTGGCGTCACAATGGCTATCACTGTCACCACCGCCACCCATGATTGCCGAGCCATTTTGCTCCTCCCACAATCACCGTACCACTTCCCTCCGCCACCACCACGGACAACCGCATCACCGAAACTTCGCTAGCCTAGATGATGATGACAAACTTCTTCAGCAAACTTTCGCTCGTTCTTCACCTTCACCCGCGACGAAGCATCGACCCATCCCAGATGGGCCTTGGGCGACAAGCCCTCCTCTTCCGGTACTGGAGAAGGAGGACTCGCCGAGGGCGGGTCCTCAGCTGGAGCAGTTAAAGTTCAGGGTTTACTTAGATGATCAAGGGACTTAGTAAGTATGGCTATAAGTACCTTAATGGGAGTTATAAGTACTTATAACCATAGTTGCCTGAATTATAACCCTAGTTATTAAGTCCCATGACCCTCCAAGTATTGAGGGGTGCAAGTCAGAGCTCAACAGCTGAAGAACAGGAGCGCCGCTTTGATATAAGCGGGCTCATGCTGCCGGGCACTGGGAAAAGCGCTGCAGGCTCAGGCTTAAGAGCAAACCCTAAGGTCTTAAGGACTCGTATGTTAAGGCTTTTGGGCCCAAAGACCATACTCTATAAGGCTTTTGGGCTATTTTGAGCCCTAGGGTAAGGGTACGAAGGTGAGATAGGATAAAAACGCCTGGTTCGGAACTGCTCTTGTGAAGCTTGCCTTCTTGGGGTCTGCTCAAAGGTAATGGCAAATGATGCTCGGATTAGTAACAGCGAAGAGAACAATTACTTCAGTTCGCAGGGGTTGCAGGCTGCGCAAGCCTCAACACCCAAGATGTTGCTATAGTGTAGGCATCGTTAGCTTACACATCCATGCTATGAAGGCCAAGGTTCTGGCTGCACCTTAGATGGCTTGGAAATAGCAAGGGGCGGTGGCCGCGGCTTCTCCTGTCAGTCTCGTGGAGGCACTAGTCATCGACAGGGGCTGCATCCATTCTGTGGAGTTAAGATGCTGGGTCGGATTCCGCCACCAAGAACCATGAATTAGCACCACCTTGCCCTCGACAATCGACAACCAAAGAAGGCAACAAAGCCAAGAGCTACGATAGTATCAGCACGATGTGAGGGATGCCGTGCTGCAGTGCAGCAGTCCGCCTCACTTCGAAGCTGCAGCTCCCGTCCCCCAGCCCCGAAAAACCCTAAATTAAACACTAGACTCTTAGATTAAACCCCAGATTAAGCCCTAAAGCCCAAAAACTCCTAAACCCAAAAGCCCAAAATCCTAATCCCTCTGTCCTTCGAGGGTGTCCTTGAGACACTCTCTCCGCAGCTCCTCCGACTGTTCCTGAGCGTTGCATGGCCTTCTGGAGGCCCAGAGTTTAGGGTTTAGGGTTGGATTTTTTCCCCACATACCTAGCAAGGACAAATCCCGCACTGCAGGGTAAAATCGTCGCAAGAATGTAGTAGTACTCATAAGTCTAGGTGGCTTAAGCTTAGGGTTTGCGGTTGTCGTTAACACTCACAACTCGGACAATCCAGGCGAGTCATGTCTCAATAGGTCAGCTCGGTTTTGGGCTTAGGGCTTACAAGCCGAAGTTGAAGATGATACTACGGCGGTTTCGGGTGTATATATGTCTTGCCCGAAGTTTTGAGAGTCATGTTGGAGGACCTTATTCAGCCCTCTCCAGTAGTGTTTCGGCAATCGTGGTGATGACACGTGAAGCTGAAAACGGCAGCTGTGAGACAGTACACTGTCCTCACGTTTGTAGCATCCCGGCATGGTTACTATCACATACATAAAGTCTACCACTTGCAAAATCCGCGAATTCCTACAGACGAAACGAGCACCGTGAGAAGCGGCTGGATGCGACAGCGGCCGTCTTCTACTTACTGGCGCTTACCTACGGGGATAGGAGGAAGGAGTTTTGGGACTACTATGAGGGATTGGATAGGAACAATTACAGGGAGTAGAGAGGAACTACTAAGACTACGTACTATAAGGGATGTTATTATGGGGACTGTTATAGGGATCCACGCACACTCTCTGGACGTGGCGGCAAGGCGCTGACGGCCGAAGCGGCTGTTTGAGGGCGACAGCCTCGGGGCCTTGCGCTACGATGCTGTTGGGACAAGGGCAGGGTCTTGGATTTTCAGGGTTTTCGATTTACTCGCAAAGCAGGCACGGATTGCAGGGCGACGTAGTGAGGTTGGGTTCAGGGTTTACGTCATGGAACCTGTTTTCAGGATGTGGAATAGCCGAATATTGCTGGCGCTGAAACTCTGGGATTTTGAGGATGTTAAGGCAGCAGCTGACGGCTTGCCTGAGGCCCAGATGGCGGATTGATTCTGTTCTGAAAACATATACTGGTCAGTGAACCACTTGGCGCAGCCCTTCCTAATCGATCTAACTTTGTCCCCGTCGCAGATCTGAAAGCATCGCACCATGTTTCCGAACCGATTTTCTGTCATGAACCCCATTTCAGCAACCTGCTTTGAGCCCACGGCACCGCACCCCTCTGAAGCCTGCAGACCCCACCTGCAGTATCCATTGCAATTCCTTTCTTGGGCTACCATGTAGGATCCTACAATCACAGCCGTCTAAACCAACCAAATGACCTACATACAATGGAGACTATAGGTAGACCCCATATCCCTGAGCCCCCAAACTCAGCGATTACAAATCCTGACAGCCCTTGCCTTCATCGAATGGGCATCCAAGAGTTGATCTACGTCCTCCAGGCGACGTGGGCTCTTCAGATTGAGGTTTAAGGTTATAAGGGATACGGCTAGGTCTGCGATGTTGGGCATGGGGTTGGGTTCCCAAGCAATCGGAATCACAACGCAGCAGGGGGCAGTCATGATAGTAGTCATGAGAGAAGCCAGACTGTGGTGGGCCTACGTGGTGCTTTCTCTGGCCTAGAAAGCTCGAGGCTGCTCGGCTTGGGCAAGTCATCCCACCGACCAAATCAAACCCTAAAACCACCCAGGCCTGCCTACTCGGCTACTACGAACTACCTGTACTGTACTAGACATTCTAAGCATTCTTCAAGGCCTCCACCCTCAGTGTAAACCCAAAGCGGACGCCCGGAAATTCAGGTTTTGCCGCAACAAAGCTGGTCGCTGGAACGATGTAGGCTTTTGATGGGTTTTGTGTGCTACACAGGCAAGCCTCACACCGAGACCCCAAAGAACTCCGATCTGAGATTCTAGCCAAGCCCTCCGCCCAATCCGTCCTTAAAATCTTTAAAAGCGGAAAGCCCACGACTCTGCACCGGCGAAGGAAGCCTAGCTACGAGGAAGGGGGCGTTCTTGGCTTGAGTAGGGTGTTCTTAGGGTTTCTCTTGGCCTGAGTAGGGTGTTGTTCTCTGGGCTTCGCAGGAATCAGAAACTGTTCGTGGAGCTTATTATGAGGTGATGGGGCTTTCTGGATAGGTTTCAGGGGTGTCGTGTGCAGGCTTGTGTCATAAGGTCGTACAGGCTCATTCAAGGTTTGAGCTTCCGCAAGATTCGGGGTACCTTACCGAGGGGTCGTTGTGAGAAGGATTCTACTAGTTTGTTATACGGTCCATACAAGCAGTTCGTTCATTTTCCGAAGCTCCTTTGCAACAGGAACTTCTACTCATAGACTCATAGCTATATCATGCGCGAGTCAACTTGATTATAAGGAACTTTGGTTTAGGGGTTTTAGGGTTCAGGGTTTTCGGATGAGGACAAAGAAGCCGACATCGAAGTCCAAAAGTAAGGTCCTTATCTCTCCGGAACGATGCTATACCGGGTTCCCCACCTTCCTGGAACTGACTATATGGGTAGCTTTCCCTTTTTAGAAGGTTGGGCATTACATCTTTGTTTTGCCTCCCGCTTTGCTGGGACTACTCTTGATGAATATTACGGTTCAGGGTTCAGGGAAGCGTTTGGGTTCGGTGAGGTTACAAGTGAGTGGGGATCCGGGGATATCGGTGCAAAGCTATGGCATGAACCCCTAATCGGGTCGCCTTGAGCCGCCATTGAATTGGCATTAGACGAACCCTCGGTGTCCTGCCTTGCTGTATCCTGGACGACTGGACGAATCCCTAAAAATTCCTGAAACCCTCTTTCCGCTCAAATCTCATGTCAAGGCTCGTTCTGCCGGGTCTTTAAACCAGGCCTCTGTAGGTAGGATGTAGCCCTAGATGCCCCAGTTGAGAAACTTGGTGTTTAACATCCCCTTTATCCTGAGACTCTAAAAGGCGATACGACGAAGAGCTAAGTATTTGGACAAGGAGCTAAGTATTTGAGGATTTGGGTTCAAAGATTTGACGGAGAAAATCGAGTAGCATTGTTGAGTATAGGATTGCTCTAAGAGCTAAAGCACGAAGTACAAGAAACAGTGTGCAACTCTCGGCACCGACCCGCTCATTATTCTTGTACATGCACCGGTTTCTTGCCTGGGCATTAAATTAAATCAGAACATGCTAGACCGGGATCTGTGGAAAGAGGCCGCCAACAAGTAATGACCTGTTGAAGCTGAACCGTCTGACTCGAAGTAACATGGAAGCCGAAGTTGATTACAAGCCTATATAGACGTGTTCCGCATTGCATGGGCTAGAGAAGGGCCCAAGGCTCAGAATCGTGATGAATTGCCCAAGAAACGAAAGGGGCAACGAAACTCTGGACACGGCGTTGGCAATCATCGACACAGCCTGCCAGTTGCGGCGGAGGGCTATCGGCACATTCTACTCGGCCCCTAAGCGAATGCAACCTGGGCCTGAATTTGAGCTTGATCGTGTTCTTTGTCTTTTTTCGGGGGGGGAGGGGGGGTGGGAGTAAGGCCGTAGCTTTGTCATTCCGGCTCGTGCGGAAAAATCACCACAGCAGCATGTGAGACGCCTAAAGCCGGCGGCAGTGAACATGTCTGGAATTGCAGGTTCAAGCTGCGAAAAGGGGTGTAGAGTTCAGTGAGCCTCGGGCTGCTAAATGACTCTGAAATCCCTGCCGAAGCCCAGTTCCGGTAGGGATAGAACACATCCAACCAACATCCTACTTGTCGGGTATCATGGGCAACTAAAGGTTAACCTTCTTGGGTATATAGGGGTTATATAGGGACTACTATACTACCCAAAAAAAGTTAAAGGTTTCCTACTCCACTACTAGGACATCAACATCTCAGGAAGCTGAGTCCCACTCCTTGCGTCATCAACGGAAAGTCCGATGCAAGGGGTTCTGGTCGCTTGGGGCATCCATTTCTCCGCACCTAGATCCCCCAGCCTCAACTGAACACCTTGGGAAAGAACCCGGTTGAGTAGCTGTCATACCGAAAACTACAATTAGAGGAGGGTCTTCGGGTGCAGCTTGCTCAAACGAGAATTACACCCCTACAGCATGTTGGAACGAACCCCAATACCATATCAACGGACGCCGGCACGCCTGTAACATCGCTGAGCAAGTGGGCCACGAACTGAAGTAAAAGCGCTCCCCCCAAACGCAAAGACCTATACCGCCTGCACAGATATATTTCTAGAATAATACTCATACCAACAATACCAATAATAATACCAATACTTAATAGTAACACTAATAAGCATGATAATAAGAAAAATATGAAAATGAAAAAACAATACGTCCCAGATCCTCGAATCCTTTACCCTGGCGCGACTCTGCCTTATTGCGGGGCGCATGCGCTTTCTGCTCCGTTAACCGGCTCAGTTTCTCGTCTATGTTCTGCAACGTGCGACCTTCGGACTCCACTTTTTCGGTGGGCACTTGGTGGCTTCAAGTTCAGCACTTTCGGATCTTGGATGTTGAAACTCAAGAGTTGAAGCCTGTGGTAGGGTCTTATGGTTTTGGGATTCATGAGTTTAAGATTTTGGAAATGAGTCTTCGGATCCTACACATAAAAAGCCCTTTCGGGATCGGGCCCCTTCCTGCTTCACGCTGAACCTATAGACTATAATTAAACCGTAGACGACTAAACTTAGCCGTTGGTGAAACACACTGTTTTAGGATGTCCTTAAGGGGGGGTGGTCCAAGGGGGGTAGGTAACCTAGTAATCCCCATTATTCCCCAATACTCCCTAAGCTTCCCTAAGGTTCCCCAAAGCTCCCTAGTACCCTCCCCCCTTGAACCACCCCCCCTTAAGGATCCTAAAACTGTTGGAGCTTCAGGCTCCAGCTGAGGTCCCCCAACGCAGCAAAACCTGCCCAAAAAACACGCACCGCCCATACTATGAAACACCCGACATACTATTAGTGTACATATATACAGGCTTACACACTATATGATCCAATACGTTACATATAACATGTTATACACCAGATACTCGAAAATACTAAACCCTAGACTGCTCAGCCTGCTGAGTGGACATCTGCTAGAGAGCCGAGGTTTCTTATCAACCTTAAGCCCCCTTGTTTCTGGAATCGCGGCAAATTCCCGGATGCCTCCTGCTGTCGTGTTTCGTCTTAGGTAATTAATCTAGTGTAGTAGAAGATAGAGTAAGACAATGTAAGACAAAATAACATGCCTGAAGGTCCGGAATTGTTGGGTAGAGGGAGTAGTGCAAGGTGTTAGACATACTGGCGGTGCAAAGTGCTGCTTCAGGGTGCGCCCTTTTCGGGAGCTGCATGAACGATCTCAACAGTACGGTCCGGAACTTGATGCACGTTCTAGTCTCCGTTTGAGTGGTCTGCGCCTAATAAGTCTGCAGCTAAACACTGCAAAGCCGGAACACTTCAGGTGAACATACCACTGATCGCCTTCGACCCGAAATATGAAATTGCCTTTGCACACTCCCCTTCCGGATAAACTTGCCAAAGAAGCACAGCTAGCCATGTAATGTGTTACTAGATTTTCATTGGTATCCCGGCTAGTATGGAGGTTGGGAAGTAGTAATTTCGCAATAATGTGCCCTTATAGCCCTCGTAAAACTCTATAGACTGTGATAATGCCACCCCCTTCCTTGAAACTTCCTTTCAAACAACACCATTCTGAATATTGGGACCCTTTTTCCCTCAATTATCGAACCCTCATCGATCCTTTGTCGGAAACCCGGTCTCTATCATTACTATCACGGAGGCTACAGTATACCTAACGCCGATTTTCAGGGCTTCGATGACATCCTCCTCACTGGCGATGAAACTGCGCCGAGAAGCTTAAGGCTGCCTGATCCGTCGAAAGCGCTGTGCAGAGGCCTACGAGCACCTCCGGTCTTGTGGTAGGGTTTCGGTAAACGTCTTTTGTCGGTTTAGGGTTTCGGGTCTTCGGGTTTTGGTGCCCCCCAAAAAGGGTACGTAATATATATATATATATATATATATATATATATATATCGACCAAGGCTTTGCGTAAGGGATGTGTAGAGTCTCATAGTTGTCGGGAGCCTAAGCTGACCCTGATTTCCTATACATTGTACGAGCACAGAAGCCCTTCATGTGTGGAGCCATCGATGGCCGAAGAACATCTGAGGGCTTCGACTCTCGTAGCCGGGCAACTTGGGTGAAGCGCTTAGGAGCTTCACTTAAGGTTTGCGCTTTAGCGTTTCGGTTTCGAAATCGGCATCGAAAATAGAGATCGGCCCGAGGCACATCCATCTGCCGTTGAAGGCTGTTCCTCCCAATCTTGTCCTGCCGGAACATGCCACCGAGCAGGTGTTTGGAGCGTTTTGTAGAGGCTTTCGGGTCCCCAAGCCCTCAAACCCCAAACCCTTGAATAAAGGTTACCCCATGGCGGCCAAGGATAGCGGTTGGATAGCGGATGGCAACAAGTCCTCCAGGACAGAATCCTGAGAGTCGAAATGAAGGCAGCTGCCCTGCGAGTCTTGGCTGGTGCTCGGCCCAAGATATCCTCAGTGGCTCTTCTTACCTTTGGTTAGTAGGGGATGGAAGAATGGTAGTAATAGTAGTTAGAATGCTACCCCATTCCTCCATTCCCTACTAAGCAAAGGTAAGTCTCGTGGATTTCGGGTGTGTGGAGAGACAGGGCTTAGGCCTTAGGCCTATGGGGATTAGACGGGTCTGCGGCTGATGGCTTAGGAGAAGTAAGAAGCACTTGTTTGAGTTTGATCCCCAGAGTCGGAACCGTTTCGGCCTACGAGACGGTGCGAAGCTCTGCACCCGACAGTCCCAGACGGCTAAGCCCTTTTGCCACTGGACTCAAGTCTAGCCAGTCTACGACCCACAATCATCTTGACCGAGGCCGACATGCAGCACCGATACCCAAAGTCGCCTTTCGGAGGAGTCAAGCTGTGTGCTCATGACGGCTAAGCCCTACATCCTAAACCTGCAGACCCAAACCTTTTGCCTGCAACCGCTCTTCGAAGCTCAACCCGAGCGCGTCAAGAAAGAGTGAAGCCTCCCACTCGCTTCATAGCTGCCGGGAGTCCGTCGTCATCTGCATGGTCAGCCATGGCGGCGGGTTGGTAGGGAGCTTCCGATGGCGGCTCCACGGTTAAATTAGCGAGGAAGGATTGAAGATTTGCCTTCGAGATGGGTCGGGGGAGCTAAACGTCTTGGAGCTAGTTCACACTGTTACACTTCAAAGCTTTGGCGACTTTCCTTCCATACATGTCTTCGAAACAACGGTCCGCGGGCACATGTGATCTTCTAGTCTATACACTGAGGGGGTAAGGGGGTTGGGTCTTGAGCTGCGAATGCTGTCGAAATGCGCATCTGCTCGATTCGCAACCCAAAACCAGAGGACGTGAGACCTCACCCCTTGACACTCAACTCGGATCCCGAAGCCCTCACCTGTGATCCCTGAGCCGTCATCCCCGAATCAGTTCCTGGACCCACGAGGCTTGGATTGATTCACGCATCGGCCTTCCCGGCCTCGGAGCCTTTAATTTCGGTCCATTCATTCTCATACCCGCTCGGATGCAGACATAGAGCTACATCATATATGTCCATATAGAAACCTAAGTAATCACGCTCAGAACATACTAAGCTGCAACAGTACATAGCCGCAGCCTTGAATGGACATTTTATGACGAAGATCGGAACAAAACAAGTCGCCAATCTCATTTCAAGCCGAGACTGTGTGACACATCGGCTGGGATATGTGGACGTAGTAATGCCAAATGCCCCCCCATTTTTTACAGCTTCTTCAGCTTCGTCCCTACCGTCCCCTCTCAAAAGGCCAGGACGGGCTGCATCCAGGCCTCAGGGGTGCCGAGCTCTGGGCTTATGGAGTAGTTCAGCACTGGCGGTGAACACAGGGTGCCCTCCAAAACGATTCTTCAGTATGGATTGCATCGCTAGCCTTGAAAGACTGCGTAGGAAATCTGCTAAAGAAATGATAGTTTATAGGCTGCGAGGTTAAACTCCATGGGCTCCTTCTTTGACCAGCGCTGAAGAATAGACTTTTCCCCGTTATACCCAGCACTCTTGCATCTATGTACGGTATATTCGCCTGTCTGCCGCCAGCCCTCGCTTATCCAGCTGCCTATCCGCTCATCTACCCACTCATCCATTCCATCCCTCTCTCCGTCCGTCCATACCCTATAAGCCCTACACCCTGACATGTCATCTGGGACGAAATCAAGACCTCATGATGCCAGACAGGGGAAAACAGGGAGGCTGTACACGTAGTTAGGCAAGTAAGTATGCACGAACCTGGTCTATTGACACATGGCGCTTAGTCTCGTCGTTTCGTTTTCATACGTGACCTGGGGCATACATACCTACCTGCCTGACCTTCCTGACCTACCTAGCTACCCAATTAGCTACCTACCTGCCTGCCGACGTACGTACGTACGATCCACACACATTTTCGGACACGTGCATACACGCAGCCACAGAACAAGTCTTTGCCCCACGACGAACCGCCTTTCCCTGCAGACTCCCATCACAGGCTCATGTACTGCGAAATGTATACCAAGCATGCAGCATAGGTCCACATGTGCATGCAGAGGCACATCTACTCACAGAACGTCTCTGGGCGTCCGGCAACCGACACCATCAGTGCTGCCACAGACAGGAAAAGAACAGCCGAAGCAACCTTGTTCCGGAGTTTGGTTTCAGGCGACGTGAGGCACGTGCGTGCTCCAAGATGTTGTCAGGGAGATCTTGTTCAAGATCTCCCTACTTGTCGGTTACCAGGGGAAACTAAAGGTTAACCTTTTTGGTTACATAGGGATTATATAGGGACCATACTACCCAAAAAAGGTTAAAGCGTACCTACTCTACTACTATAGTACCCTTATAGATCCCTATAGATCCTTTATAGTAACCCTTGTAGACAACTTTAAAAGGAACCCTAATAACTCTACTAAATTTTTGCTGTCGGAGATCTCAGCCCGCCCTCTGTTCACCATGAGTCATTTGACACATCACACACACACACAGATGCCCTCCTGTTGTCCTTCTTCAATCACAGATGCATCTGCTTGATCCAGCACGCTACACACACACATTATGCACATCTGTATACCTGTATATGAAGTGTATATGTATGTATGTATGTATGCATGTATATATATATATATATATATGTGTATGTGGTCTCTCTCTCTCTCTCTCTCACCTGTCAGCCGTGACGCGGATTTACAAAAAAATACACACGCACGTACACTTGTGTGCTCATGTATACTGTGCAGAAACACATACCCTTTATTTATGTTGAGGTTTCGGGGCTATAGGTTTGCTATAAGATTCCATTGCCTCCCAGTCCGATTACATCATAGCAGGTGCCACCATGAAGGCAGGTGAGGAAACCCAAACGGTACAGCCTTTGTAAGCCTAAACCCTAAACCTAAAACAGCATACGCTGCCGAGCTGGCGGCGTAGCGCAAAGCAAGGATCAGAAGAACCGCCAGCTTGGTCGCCACATCCTGCCAACGGGAAGTACGCTTTCGACGCTCACACTCGCATCCGGCAAGCAAGGCTCCACATAGTACATAGTATATGGTTTGGGGCTTGGGGTTCCAGGGTTGAGGGGGTTAGGGTTCAGGGGTTCGAAAGGGTTTGTGGGTTTAGGATGCGAAGCTCAGCACGATCCTTCCAAAGACGGTGCCCTCGAGGTGCAAGTGCTGAGTTCCCTAGTAAGTTCTCCTGAGCATCATACACCCTAGATGTGAAAGCATTGTATGAAAAGCTCAAGTCTCATGAAATAGCCGGAAGCGGATGGACACGATCGCGTGTGCACCGACGTCGCAAGGTCTTAGCTCTCGGGCTCCGGGTAGGTGCATCCCCTCACAGCTGTTGCTGCCTCCATTTTTATTGGAGCTCGAGGGGTTCAGAAACTTAAAGGAGAAGCCCTAAATCATGAGTTTCATTTGGGACAGACCCCAGTGTTCCCAGTCCGGAATCGGGTTTATTGCACAGCAAAGCCGATCAGCCCAAAACCGTGACTTTAGTAACTTTAAATACTGCAAAAATCTATTAAAAACCCTTTACGTAAAAAATATATATATATATATATATAGAGCTCTTAGGGAACCCTTATAACGTCTTGAAGAACCCGCCGGCACCCTGTCGTTCAACTTCTCGGTGATCAACTCGCTCTCGGAAACGAGACTGCACTTCACCTGGATCAGCACAGCTGCCGTGGCCACCTTAGCATGGACCATGTGGGTGGTTGTCAAAATTATGGCCCCATTTAGGGTACCTCAAATGAAGGACCCAGAAAGGGACCCCAATTTTGACAACCACCCGTGTGGCGGTTTAGGGTTCGGGTTCTGCGACGCTCCGTTGGTTCTGTCTGGATATGTCCTGGCGGCTAGGCCGCTCCTGACCTCGGGTTTCGGGATTATGGTCCAAAGATACCATGCCGCGCTGCAAACCCTGAACCACACCCATGTCGAGCATCCCGGGTTAAGCCGGCACGCGACTTTTACACATGCTGGAACCATTGGCATTGAGGATGCATATTCATGTAAATGGAAACCAGTACAAGTATCGCATCGATGCGATTAAGACAAGCACATAGAAAAAAACAACGGAGATACATAAATACCGAAAGCTCAGTGTACAAGTACAAGCGCAGCTATGCACGTAGACAATCACCGACATAGACACCAATCTGAACATGGAGATACCGGAGAGATAAACCAACAGATAGAACGGCAGGTAGATTTGCAATTAGACAGGTAAGATGGATGGATGGATGGATTGATGGATGGTTGGATGGAAAGCAGTAAACTTAATTAGGTAGGTTTGGTAAGCAACGCAAATAGCTAAATATTAAGCTCTGGTGATCATGCTTACACACGCACTGCGAGCGAGTTTGCAACAGGCATGCAGGACCAAACTGAAGGACAAGCCGAGGCCAGCACCATCATGCTGCACTGCGCCTGGGAATATGTTGGTGGTGGGGTTCCTGTTTCTATACCCCCCTTAGAACCATAATAAAAATAGTATGTTGAATATACTCTTGGGTTTTATATGAACAAAAACAAAAAATAATTCATAAGGAGACTATAGGTTTATCAACCGACAGACTGACAATCCAATATTATTCGAGGCACGGGGTATGGGGATTCAGAGGTGCAGTGTCGAGTTTGGGCTTTGCGGCTGGGGTCTCGGCCGAGCCACCCTACTTTAAGTTGCATGTGCCTTCGATTGAACCCGATGGACATGGGATCTTTATGTGATGACAGAAAATCACCACCAGCAAACTCCATGGAAACTCCCAGTACCTCCCCACTCCAAGCCCTGGGCCCGAAAACCTGACCGCCCGTGTTACAGTATGACGCTAAACAAGGCCCCGGGACCCAATAGGGTGGATCGCGGACGCCAATTTGCATTGCACGCAGGCGGCAGCCTGCTCCATCTCAACAGCAGGTAGGTTTCTGGCACGTTCGTCTGTTCAAACCCAAAGCCTGGTTTGCCACTTTTCCCATTGTCTGGATTTTTGAAGCTTCGGAATGAGAAGCCAAACTGACAAAACAGCCATGAACAGCTAGCTAGTGCCTTAGGTGCGGCCCCCACCCAGTAATAGTTGAATAATATTCATAATATAGTAGATATAGTAGGACCTTAATAGTAGCCCTATTATCGACTCTTACTGTATGGGGGCCGTACCTAACTAGTGCCACACATACACACGGATCTAGAGCAATGCAGCCGATAACAATCGTAAGCAAACCAAAAACCGCTTATAGGAAGCATCACAGACGGGGACTAAACCCACGACAAATGCACGGGCAGCCGCTCACCGCGCCAGGTTCGTCGTGATTTCATATGATGCCGAACATATCCGAAGCAAGAAGAGCTTCAAGTGGCATGCAATGTGTAGACCTCTGTGCCTACAGTTCCAACATAGGAAGGAACGTGATAGTTGGTCAAAGGGATCTAAGAACAACAACAACTGTTGCGTGCTGCATTTGCGCTACAGCAGTACATACGCATCCGGCAGCGTTCACCCCTGACCCTGAGCCAAACCGGCCTATGATTGACTGCTAACTCTGAA